TGATTTTGTCAGGTAACATGATTTTGGCAGGTAACATGATTTGACAGGTAATATGATTTTGGCAGGTAACATGATTTTGGCAGGTAACATGATTTTGACAGGTAACATGATTTTGTCAGGTAACATGATTTTGACAGGTAACATGATTTTGTCAGGTAACATAACTTTGACAGGTAATATGATTTTGTCAGGTAACATGATTTGACAGGTAAAATGATTTTGTCAGATAACATAACTTTGACAGGTAATATGATTTTGTCAGGTAACATGATTTTGTCAGGTAACATGATTTGTCAAGTCAGAGGATTTTGGCAGGTAACATGATTTTGTCAGGTAACATAACTTTGACAGGTAATATGATTTTGTCAGGTAACATGATTTGACAGGTAAAATGATTTTGTCAGATAACATAACTTTGACAGGTAATATAATTTTGTCAGGTAACATGATTTTGGCAGGTAACATGATTTGACAGGTAAAATGATTTTGTCAGGTAACATAACTTTGACAGGTAATATGATTTTGTCAGGTAACATGATTTTGTCAGGTAACATGATTTGTCAAGTCAGAGGATTTTGGCAGGTAACATGATTTTGACAGGTAATTTGATTTGTCAAGTCAGAGGATTTTGACAGGTAATATGATTTTGGCAGGTAACATGATTTGTCAGGTAACATGATTTGACAGGTAAAATGATTTTGTCAGGTAACATAACTTTGACAGGTAATATGATTTTGACAGGTAACATGATTTGACAGGTAATATGATTTTGGCAGGTAACATGATTTTGGCAGGTAACATGATTTGACAGGTAATATGATTTTGGCAGGTAACATGATTTTGGCAGGTAACATGATTTTGGCAGGTAACATGATTTTGTCAGGTAACATGATTTTGACAGGTAACATGATTTTGACAGGTAACATGATTTTGTCAGGTAACATAACTTTGACAGGTAATATGATTTTGTCAGGTAACATGATTTGACAGGTAAAATGATTTTGTCAGATAACATAACTTTGACAGGTAATATGATTTTGTCAGGTAACATGATTTTGGCAGGTAACATGATTTTGGCAGGTAACATGATTTTGACAGGAAACATGATTTTGGCAGGAAACATGATTTTGTCAGGAAACATGATTTTGTCAGGAAACATGATTTTGTCAGGTAACGTGATTTTGTCAGGTACATAATTTTGGCAGGTAACATGATTTTGTCAGGTAACATGATTTAGTCAGATATCATGATTTATGTCAGGTCATCGGGTCATGTGATTTTGCCATAATATGTAAATTTCTTACCTGTGCCACTTTGACGTTGTCTCTTGTATGTAACATGTCTTGTTCTGATGGTACAGGATCATTTGAATCTAAATATCCTAACAAACCAGCTGGCTAAAATGAACAATAATACATTTAATATATTAAACAGAAATGTTTAATAAATGGGACTTGCCTCAAAAAAGGTTTATATAATTTCATAACTGCACATATGCACTATAGTTCATTCAAATGCAAGTATTAATTTCAACTAGTACTAACTCATAGTAAATCCTAATGATTACTAAAACCAACTAATGCCTGTTAGTTCAAACCAAATATGATTAATGTCAACAAGTATTCGGCCATATTTACAAAATCATCATTTACCTACCATTAACTTCTAGCTAGTACCAACCATTTTTAACTAGCACAATCTACAATTACCTTACTATTATATTTCAAAAAGCACAAATTACTACTAACTAACTAACCATTACCTGCTAACCAGAAATAACCATTTTCAATTAGCACAATTGACATTTCACTTACCATTAACTAGTACATATTATCATCACAAAATCTACTACTATTTGTTAACTGATAACTGATATCAACTAATTTTAACTAACACATTCTAATGTTAACTCAACAATAGCCTACCATTAACTGGTACAAATAATTATTACAATCAGATTTCAACCAGAATTTAGGAAGTTAATTTAGCATTAACTGACAACTATGGTAGTACCAAGCAATTTCAACTAGCATAATCTACTGCTAACTTACCATTAACCTTCTAAGTAAACTCATTGCTGTAGGATGGCCAGTAACCCAAAGTGCTACCAGGTGTCTACTAAGTTGTCTATTTGCTAGCATTCTATAATCATGACTAGTAGTAAACATAGATATATGTAGATGCTTTGGTAATGCTCCTTCCGCTAAAGCTAAATCTTGCATCTTGGCAGCTATCTCTTGATCACCTTCCTGTAAAACCAATAACATGTAACATCATCTTTGATTGTAAGAATTAGGAACAACATAGCTTTTTTTTAGAATTACAGCCAATCAGTAGAGCTGTTGCAATTCACAAGGCTTAGACCTAATTTACAGCTAACAACTTTTGCAATTGGCTGCCTGAAAAATTGTTTTAATATTCCATTTTTATTATTGCATTTCATCCATTATTGCTATATACTGATAGAAACATGTGTATTTCTAAAGATTCAGTAAAGTTATTATTATATTGTAATGAGAAAATATGCC